TGGTGTCAACGGCTGCTCAGGTACAAATGCCAGTCACACAACAGTTTAAGACAGATTCCTCATACTGCCAATCTATGTGTTTTTTGCTGTTTCATCAGTTTTGGTCTCCTGGGAGCAGGGACTGGTAAAACACAGAGTTGTAGCCTTTAAGGCAACTGCTAATTTCAGACCAAGATGAAGATTTTTGTAACCTGTAATTGGAAGAAATAGCGTTTGAACCTTGGGCAGAGATGATTGTATACATTTTTGCTCTCTTATAATAAGATCTAGGTTTCACTGGAACACACTCTTCCAGCATTTACCCTAAATATATTTCTAATTAGAGACAACCACTGGTGGTTGAAGGTTTTCTTCCCTTCCCTCTCTCCATCTTCCCCCCACCCCACTCCCTTGTAAATGATACAGGAGCTGGCTGAGCTTTTGGATGAAGAAAAGCTTAGTGGAGTCCCCGTGCTCATATTTGCTAACAAGCAGGATTTGCTGACGGCTGCCCCTGCTTCGGAGATTGCCGAGGGACTGAACCTACACACAATCCGGGACAGAATCTGGCAGATCCAGTCTTGTTCAGCTCTTTCAGGAGAGGGAGTACAGGTGAGGCTCTGGAGAAGGCTTGCTGTGCCAGCAGGCCATCTGTAAGAGATTGTTGTCTGTTGATCTGCAGGGTGGGGCTGGATCGGCTGCCTCCTGAAGGAGGGTCAGCGCAGCCAAACCCTTGCGGGGCAGAACATGGGGGACATGTGTCTCATGGCCTGTGCGAAGGGAAGGGAGAACTGTGGGGCCTTGGGATCTCTCCATCCCCGGGAAGGGGGAGAGTGATCACCTCCTCACCCACCCAGGACCCCTTGGCTGGGCCAAATGAAGACATTGATTTATTTTAAAGAAACTGCTGTCAGGTTAATAATTTTCACAAAACAAATGGTCTTTTACTATTAACCTCTTTGACTGTTACAAGTGTTTTAACCTCTTTGACTGTTACAAGTGTGCACTTTAGAAATGTGATTTACCCTCGCTGCTAATGTCATTCGGCGTTTTGCTCAACCCAGGTGCCAGGGAGAAACCGATCAGTTTTTCTGATCCAAAGAAACACACAAGTTGCTCACAAGGCAAAGACCGGTTCCGATGGCAGCATGTGGGGCAGCAAAAACCCACCAAGAGGGCTGAGCTGTGTTCCTCTGCTGAACTGTAATAGTTGTGTCTTGAGCTGCTGTGCTGTAGCCAGTTCCTGCAGTATAGTAGCTCTTTGTAATGTAAATGGAACCTAGGCTTGTTTATTTCACTCTTAGGCTTTCCTGAATTAATGAAATATTTGCAGTGCTTGCAATCCCAGCAGTCAGGAGTACTCCCTTCACTGATATTTAAAGAAACAGAATAGTGAAGATATTTATCTTCAGTGCAGATTCAGTAAAACTTTATTTGCAGATGTTACAGAGCTGTTCAGGACAGTCACATCTCAATACACTGAGTATGTACAGTTGCAGAAGCAGCCCACAACACTGAGTGGGCAGTGAAACGGCAGATGAAATTCAGTGTTGACAAGTGCAAAATAATGCACATGAGGAACAACGATCCTGACTATACACATATGATGATGGACTCAAAATTAGCTGCCATTACTCAGAAGCAGGTCATTGGGAACAGAAGCTTGGTACTCATCAAAGGCCAGAGAGGAGAATCAAATGCTAGATAATTATCAGAAAGCAAACAAGAAACATCCCAGAAAATATTTCTTTTGTAGTAGGACAAAGGCATTGTGGGCCTGTACCTTGAACATGACATTCATTTCTGCCGCTGCCCCACAGAATCACAGCATGGTAGGGGTTGGAAAGGACCTCTGGAGATCATCTAGTCCAACCCCCTGCCAAAGCAGGTTCACCTAGAGCAGGTTGCACAGCATCACATCCAGGCGGGTTTTGAACCTCTCCAGAGCAGGAGCCTCCACAGCCTCTTTGGGCAGCCTGTCCCAGTGCTCTGGCACCCTCACAGTAGAGAAGTTTTTCCTCATGTTTAAGCAGAACCTCCTGTGTTCCAGCTTGTCCTATCGATGGCCACCACTGAAAAGAGTCTGGCCCCATCCTCTTGACACCCACCCTTTAGATATTTATAAGCATTTATAAGATCCCCTCTCAGTCTTCTCTTCTCCAGGTCTTTCAGCCTTTCCTCTTAAGACAGATACTGGAGTCCCCTAATCATCTTCATAGCTCTCTGCTAGACTCTGTCCAGTAGTTCCTTGTCTTTCTTAAACTGAGGAGCCCAGAACTGGACACAGTACTCCAGATGTGGCCTCACTAGGGCACAGTAGAGAGGGAGAATAAGTTCCCTTGACCTGGTGGCTACACTCTTCTTAATGCACCCCAAGATACCATTGGCCTTCTTGGCCATGAGAGAACATTGGTGACTCATGGTTAACTTGCTGTCCACCAGGACTCCCAGGTCCTTCTCTGCAGAGCTCATCTCCTCTTCTAAGAGGAGTTTAGTAGTAGTAGAATCATAGAGTCAACAAAAAATTAGGTTGAAGTGTCTTCAGGAGATCTTTAGACCAACCTCATGTTTAAAGCAGGGATAACTGTGAGTCTACAGGAGGTTGCTGAGAGCCTTGTCCAGTCAAGTTATAAATATCTCCAGGCGTGGAGTTTCCACAGCCTCTCCTGGTAACCTCTTCTAGCACTTAACTACCCTCATCAGAAAAAATATTGCCCATGTATCTGCTCAGAATTAGGAGAGATTTGAGAGTCCTCTGGCAAAAATGATCAGTAGCACGAAGTGGCATCTGTACACAGGAATAATAAATAAATGAGGACTTGCAGCTTGGAAGAGAGAGAACAGAGAGTGGGAACATCTTCAAGATTTATAAAATAAGGTATAAAAATGCCAAATAGACGATATGCTATTTTTAACATTGCTAGAGGAAGGCTGTTCCTAATGAAATAATCAGACAACAGTTTAAAAGAAATAAAAATAAGTGCTTCTTTGCAAGCTGTGTAATTAAATTGTGGATCTCATTGGCACAGGATGTTGTGGAGACCAAAGGTATCAGTCAGTTCAGAAAAATACTAAATGAATTTCTGAAGAAATCTGCAGGCAATCACTGACCACTGAGATCTGGAGGCAGCTTTTGAATGAGGAACAGCTTGGGCCATGGACTGGGCGGGAAGAACAGAGCAAAGGAGATCCTGTTCCTACATGTTCTTTCCTTTGGCCTCCAGAACAGGGATGCTGGCCTGGATGGACCATTGGTCTGACCCAGTACAGCAGTTCTTCTGATTTAAAATTCTTAACCTGATGTTTAGTCTTAAACGTAGTAGGTGGTGTCCTTCAAAGGCCCTTTATTTAGTTAGCTAAGATACAAATTCAGCTGTGTTGCAGCCAATCTCGTGAAAGGCTTGAACTCTGATATTTCAAAGTGGTGGTGGTAGAGGGAAATGTGTTCCACAATGGCAGTGTATATTCGGGTCCAAAGAAATGTGATGAAGAAAGTGAGGTTGCAGTTCAGAGGGCTGCAGGCAGGCATAGGTCACCTTCTTCCCTCCTCCAGGCCCTCCTCGAGTTTGTGGAAGTCCAGGTTAGCTCTCCAGCTGTGAAGGAGCCGTAATGGCAAATGAAATTCAGGGACATGTGTTGGATGTGGAAGAACTAAGTGATAGAAAGTGGCACTTTCTGTGCATGAGCTTTGAAAAATGCCTCCTTCTCAAGCTGCTCCGTGGGCTCTGTGGAGTGGCCTGCACGCTTGTTTGTTGATAGCACCTTCTTAATGTGCCGCCTTCTTGAAGTGTGGTGCATCCCTGTACATTCAGTAGAGTAAAATATGCAGCCCAATACCCTCTGCTGGGGAAATGAAATCTGCTTCTGCATTCAGTTCCAGAAAACAGAAGACAAGAGCTAAATACAAGTATTTGCAGGCCCATATATTTTGTTCATCATGCTTATCTAGACAAATTAATTTAGATGCAGGCCAGATAACATCCTGCTTTGTTGACTGCAGTCTCATTGCCCTAAATACTGCAGCTTATTCCATAAATGATTATTGCAGGAAGGTCAGGGAAGTCACAAACTCTCTACAGCTTACAGAATAGGAGCCCCTACATTTCTCTTCTGCCATAACTTCAGCCCTGTCAAATCAGACAGCAAGAATGCCAAGCTCTCACTTTCCTTGGAAATTCATTGAATAAAATGGTTTGGGAGATGGCTTTTAAAGTAAACCTGAATCAGCTGAGGAAGAAATGATGTCTTCAGTTCTGGGACTCTGAGGAGAGGTCAGCATGCTCAAAATTTAGGGGACTAAAGTCAAAACTTGTTTAAAGGGTGAGATTAAGAAAGATGTTTTTGAGAATCAGCGTACACAGTATCTCTACCAGTGGCTCAGAATGGGAGCTGTCTCTGTGTAGTTAAATCTCAGGTCACTGCTTTAAGGACTTCTTTGAGAAATGACAATGAGTGATAGCAAAATAAATGAAGACGTGGAAGCATCAGGTATTCAGAATGAAAGGCAAGGAGCGAGCATGCTAACTGTCGCTGCTGATGGAATGTGTTAGCTGGAGTAAAACTGGAGACATCACTGATGGATTTTGCAAGGAAGAGTGGTGGCATATCTAGTACTGAGCACATGCAGGAACGGAGTTCATAAAAAAAAGATTTTTGTGATGGCTTGAAGGAAGAGCAATGAGCAAAGATAAATAATGCCAATACATGAAGGAGAAATAGTTTGAAGGTCATTTAATTAGTTTAGCTGCTAGCACCATGGTGTATAGAATTGGGTAGTTAAGACTGGGGATTTCAAGGTTAATGAGATTAGATTATGGTTAATAGAATGATGTAAATTTAGAGAATTTAACTATTATTTGAAATGGCTTATTTAATAAAACTGTTAATTAAGGAGGGAGTCCATATTGTCATCTTATCTTTTAAAATTAACCACTGGGGACTCTGGAAAAGGTGCCCAGCCATTGCCTGGGCAGGCTCAGAAGAGAGGTGACTGGGTTAACTGGAAACTCGATGTAGTGTCCTCTGGATGCCAGCTGGTAGCCCCAGTTATGCCAGCTGAAGACTTCATTACCTCCTGACTGTAGCCGTGGGCAGCACTTGTCTTGTTAATCAGACTTTCAGGTGTTACTGCGGGGGGAGTGGCATCCCTCATGCTTAGAGGCTTTTTCAGGCAAAATATCTGTCTGATTTTATCCTCCAGCCCTGGTTAGGAAAGCAGGAAAGCCTTTTCTCCCCGCCACGGCTTACACCGAGACCCTTGGACAGGGTACAGCAAGCAAGGGAGGTGATCACCAGCGTCAGCAGAGAAACATAAACTGTTGCCTCACAATGACTCTCTGGTGCCACAATAGGCTCTCTTGGGGTTGTGTTTTGTGACCAGATCTCCAACTGTAGTCCTTGGCATGCAAAAGCTATGTACATTCCACCCTGGCCAGTCAGGGTAGGGTGAAAGCAGGCAGGGCTCCTCTGCTTTGCAGCCTGCCCTCTTCCTGGAGGTGTTACTTAGGGGCCAGGGTGTTTATTAAACATGACTCAAGGCTTTGGACCGGTCTGTACTCTGCAGCTTGTTTCTTGTCTGAAGCAAAAGTCTCCCATCAAGGCAGCAGGAGTTCTGCCTGCCCTGAGGAATCGTCCTCCAGAACGATGCTGCAGCGTATTGTGTCCAGAGTCTCCCAAGCATAATGGCCCTCTGGAGACCATTAAAAGCCAGTGGAACTGAGAGTAGCCACTAAACTCCTCTAATTTATGCCAGAGCTGGTCTTGCCCAAAGGACTGTGGGAAGGGCAGAGCTGCCTTCTCCTCCCTGGCTGTTTCAGCCCAGTTGAGAATGAAGCCCGAGACCTAAGTTACGCTGATGCTGAGATTCAGCACTTTCATAAGGGCAAGATTCAGAGCAGGACCCCCCAGCAGTGTGGTATCCTCACAGCTAGGTTTTGTCTTAAAAGATGTCTTAGCCAGGACAGGGTAGATGGGGATCTTCCACATCTTAACAAGCTTCTGGGGCTACTTGTAAATGTGATTTAAAACCAGTTTCAATGACTGCAGCTCTCTTGGGGCAGGCAGAGCTGGCGCTTGTTGAGGAAAAGCAACCTTCTTTCCAGATTACACGGCAAAAAGTCTTGTGATTTTTAAGCAGGGTTAAGGAGAGAGTCTACAGCACTGCATCAGGGATACAAGGTCTCAAAGGACGAAAGAACAGCTTGCACCCAGGCAAAAAACAATGGGTAATGTGCTTGTGGGAGCCTGTAAAAGCCAGCCTGTATGATGTCTGGAGGTGCAAAGAAATGACGGATAATGAAGGCACAGCTCTAGCTGTGCAGGGGGAGAAGAAAGTGACAGTTAAAATAACGCATACCAAAAATGCTAGAGCTGGAGAATTTTGCACTTGCCTGACCCAATTTGTTATGGCAGACAGAGGATTACATGAAAGGATTAAGCTTTGCTGTCCTTAAGGTCACGTTAGAGGTCACAAGTTTGTGGCCTTCCCTGATCCCTGGCTTGCAGGGGAGCAGAAATCAGGAGCCTTTTTATGGGGTGGAAAGGACTTGTTCGCTGTGTTTGAAGTCAGATTACTTCACTCCCATAGCCGCAAAGCTGATAATGCAAAGAATAAGCAAGCAGTGGGCTAATCTCAAGCAGGACTTTTTATTTCTCCTGGGGAAAGCTCTACCAGTCTTTTCCCAAAGGGTGTTAAAGTACAACTCCCTTGGCACAACAGCAGATGTGACTGCAGCAAGGCAGGGTTGTGCTGAGCAACATTTCTCTGCAAGGAGCGTTACGCTCTAAAATCTCTCTTTGCTTGGTAAAGTTTACTAGCTGCTTGTTAAGGAGCTGAGAGAGGCAAAGCTGAAAGATCTGAAATCTTCCCCTGCCTAAGTTTTCTCAGGGTTGACTTGAGGCTGGAATACTAATATGGTATCTGTCTCCATCCTCAGAGTCCCTGCCAGTGTCTCTGTGTCTCAACAAAGCAGTGCAAGGACATCTATCAAGATCTAAATGTTACTGTAGGGATTGTACTTTCTGCACAGAGCCATCTTTTCAGCATGCAGATATAGGGACGGAGTGTAGGGACAAAGGATGACAGCAGTTGACTCCTTGTGGACTTGACTCTTTCAAGCATAGCAGCTCTTTGTGTTTGTAGCAGCTTCCCTGGATTTCTCTGTCTTACCAACCCTCTGTCTTGCTACAAACCTTAGGCAGAAAAACTGCAAACATACCTTTTAGTTTCTTTGGCTTTCCATTGTACTTGCTGTTCTCCAAAGCATTTGGGGACACGGCAGAACACACGCCCCCCCCCCCCACAACAAAGTTGTACCAGAAGCTACAGATGTAGCTGCAGTGTGGCTGAAGATGAGGAAGGTGTTCCACAGGCACCTCTTCGATACAACACACATCGAGCTGAGCATGTTCACTTTCCCTTTATCACTGTCAGGCAGGGAGATATTTACAATTAAATACAATTTTTCCTGTCAATTAACTCATGCCAGAAGACAGTTTTAAAAAATCTATTCCTGCTTTAAAAAGTTGAGTGACCTACTTACGTATTTCAAGCCTGCTTGGAGTTCACCTTTCCTTTTGCATTTTGCTATGTCATTCTTTTGCCCTCGTTATATGCTTGATGCAGCCAGGCTCCCAGCCATGGTAAATCCCATCATAAACTCTGCTTTATGACCCTCGCCGCACCGGTGCTGGAACGGTCTGTCTTTCCCCTGCCCGAGCTCCCGAATGGCAGAGTTTTAATCACTGTGAATTCAGGTTGTGGTCAGATTAGGTAGAAGATAGGATGCGTGTTTGTTGTTTTGCAGTGATGTATTGTTTCTGGGATTACTGTGCTGAGTAGCAGAGGGTGTCAGCTGATATTTATTACTTTAAGCTGTCTCAGCTGTTCTGGTTCAGCAAATAAACCTACATTCAAAATGAATGAGGAGCTCTGCTTGCCTTGTATGCCATGATGTGTGCAAATGTGATTATTGCTTCCGAGGCAGGGGAAGCTGAAATCATTGTGGGAGCATTTTTAGTTATTTATTTATTTTTACTCTTTGCAGGCAATCATGCAGATTTCTAAAGCACACAATCAAGCCAAAGGCTTGACACCTCTCCTCCTAGCCCCATTGTTAAGCCCTGGCATTCCTCATGCTGGGAATCGCTGGCTCCCTCTCTCTCTAAAGTGATAAGCTTTAAACCACGCTATTGATTGCTTAAGGCATTACATGTTTTACACCTAGGTTATCAGTGTTATTGAAAGGGGAAGACACAAAGCTACTGGGCCTTAAAATGAATCTACTTCTCGTCTTTTCCCATTTGCTCTGAGGATTTCAGACAATTTGTTTTACACTGATCTCTGCTGTGGAGATAAATAAATGAAACTGGAGACATCAACCCTCCCTATGGTTAGAGTTAGACATGTTATTAGTGTAGGGTCTCGTGTGCACCCCAGCACAAGCTGGGCTCGCTTATTCTTTATTTAACGCAGCAACAAGGGCTGATTTCAGAAGTTGCTGCTCCCCTTCAGATAAGAAGTGTCACATAGCGCAGCTATCAAGGTGAATTGGTATTTTCGAGTGAGAACTTCTCTGCTTCTGATTAAGCCCTTAGGACTCCCTCTCTTCTCTCTTAACTCTTTAGCTCCCCTCCGACATGGACACCACCCTTTGTGGCTGAGGGGCAACATGGAAGTATGGTGGTGGGTCTCGGCTCACCCCAAGGGCCTGCTGTGCTGTGCCCTTGTCTGTCTGTCCTTGGGGAAGCTGAGGTCCTTGGCAGCCTTTTGGCACTATGGGGACAAGGGCATAGGAATCCAGTGACACTGCTACCACAGGGCTGCCAAAGGCTCTGGTCTTTCCAAGGGTCTAACTATTGTTTTAATGATCCAGAAAGGATCATTGAACATAATACAGTGAAATCTCCCCTCTAGAACTCCAAGGTGAGGTTTGCCCAGTTGCCAAGCACAAAGATCTGCCACTCTTCTCTCATCCCCCAAACCCTACCTGCCTTCTTTCTGCCCTCAGCCTCCCTGTCGGCAGAGATACCTTGTAGGCAGTGTAAAGGTAATGGATTTGATGGGACACAAGTAGGAGGAGATTGTGCATCTTGCACTCTGTTCTGCATGTCTCACAACAGATAGGTGACAGGAGCAGATAAAATGTTGCTTTGCCCTTCAGTAGCATATCCCATTCTGGGATCTCAGCAATAAACTCACGACTCAGGTACTCACAGGACAAGTGTTACCATCCTGTTGCAGTGGTCAAAGATGCCGTGCACACGTTTTTATGGAAATACTCTCAATTTAGAGTATATCATCCTCTTAAAACGTGACTGCATCTGTTCTCACTGAACCCCCGTGGAACCCCTCAGGGCCCATTTTCTGTGGGAGCTCTGAGGAACAGGGAGCAGGGTCCAGATCCAGTTATTGCAGTGTCTTTCACGGATCTGTATGTCAAGGCTTGCAGCTGAGCAGAGAATTAAAGCTGTATTCTTAATAGGGAGCTGACTGTATAATAAACAGCCCCCTAAAATCCACGGTCTCAAAGATAAGATGACTTGCCCGAGGTTACACAAATCATCTGTAGCTGAATCTGGAACTGAGCCTTCATCTGCCACTGACGTACCTTGACTGCAAAGTGATCCTTCCTCAAAGGACCTACACATAGCGACATGATGAGACGATGATACTTTTTATGGTCAGATGAAAGATTTAATAACCTCTGTGTGACAACATCTACCAAGCAATGAAGCGCTTGTGTTTTTAACCCACGGCATTTTTGGGCGCACAGGGCAGGCAGGGGGTAGATGAGGAGGCAGAACATGGTGCTTGCAGAATGGTGGTTGGGTGGGATTGGGAGATTCCTTTTCCCTTCGCTTGACTAACATTACCTTTCTCTGTCTGAAGGACGGCATGAATTGGGTGTGCAAAAATGTCAGTGCTAAGAAGAAATAAAGCATTCTGAGCTGCATGGAAATGGAGGAGCGGTGGGAGCAGAATTCTAGCCTGAAAACACTAATTTGCTGCTTTCTGACCAAATGTTTTTCCATCTGTGCACAGCTACAGCTGTTAAAGAAAAAAAAAAAAAGAGAGAGAAAAAAAAGGGAACAACATCGGTTAAAACCTACTGCTGGATTTGGAACTTGACCTGCTCTTTAGTATCATTTTTTATCCCAATAAAGGAATTGTATATTTCCTTCCTATGCATAAATAGTATTAAATGTCTGATTAGCAAGCAAGTTTGTAAGCAGAAGCAAGACTGTGATTCAGTGTGGAGCAGAGGGAGTGGTGAGTTACTGTAGTTGCTTACATGCATAGGACCTGCCCTATATGTGCGGGTTTGCGGTTGCTGAGGACACGCTCAGGTGTCAGTCACAGCTTCCCCTCAGTGACAGATAAAATGCGGTTGTGTTACCAATTGTGGGTAGTTTCTTAAAATAAAGCTGATAAGGAGTCATTTGTGTAATGGGGGTAGAAAACTTCCACGTATTCTTATAGCCATAAAAGAGGAGTTTGATCATAACGAGGCACTGTTGCATTGCGACACTGCTGCAGAAGGGAGAGAAGGGTTATATGTGTATAATATGTGAATAAATGTGAAGCTCTTTACAGTTGGAATAATGCAGGATGAGCGTGCCTAGGGCTTTTCTCGCAGCTGAAGGAGAATTTAGCCCAGCATTTCACCTTGAGCCAGCAAAAATGTGGTTCCTGCGTTCAGTAAGTTCCATATGTGAGATTAGTCTTGATGTTGAACAATCCCTGTTGATTTTCCCTTGATGTTAAGGCAACTCTGCAGCAAAATGCAATTAAGTCACAAAATCACAGAATCACAGAATAGTGGGGGTTGGAAGGGACCTCAGGAGTTCATCGAGTCCAACCCCCCTGCCAAAGCAGGTTCCCTACAACAGGTTGC